GTCTCAAAAAGTCTGGAGGAGATTAACTTCMCTTTAACTTTTAATGGTGAAGTGCGTCACGTGAAATTTCTGAAAACCAGAAAGAAGCTCAAAATAAAAACTGACTACACTCTAAAAAATTATTATGGGCAACGTGTGCAAAATCCTTCATATGTGATTTTAATGATCAATTTAAGACCAAATGAATTGTTTTTGATGTGTTTTCTCAAACTACTGCTGCCAATGTAACAGGGTTGTTATTGTTGAATGAATTGTGTCAAAATGCACTGTTATTTTTTATAATATTTTACTTGTTTTGCACCAAAGATTTTCTAGAACCTATCAAATGTGTTCTTACTGTCTGGGGAAATCACTTGGATTCCATTTTTTGTTTAAAGCACCTGTGACATCCAATTTTTGTAATAAATATGAAAGCATTTTCGGAAAGAAATCATAAGATATTTCAAAAAAATATATTTTTTAAACCACACCACTGAGATGAACAGTTGTTGAGATATTCACATGTGATGTAACAGGAAGTGATGTCAAAGGGGAATGTCTGCATGTAAACAGAACAATGTTACAATAATGAAAACACAGACTTTAGAGAAGAATCTGATGTTTCTTTAGAGTACTTTGACTCACTATCAGAGAGATGCAGAAGAGTCAGAGCTCAGATAATATTGTTTCAATAAACAAAGACCAGGGAGTTCCTTTTTCGTAAAGAGTTACTCTTTGATGTCACTTCCTGTTTCACTTTGGCCGAGCAAATTTAAAAGAAAATATGCCAGTTATGTGCTAAAATGGGTAAAATCATGTGTACTATGTAGGGTTGGGCATAATCGTATCGTGTGTGATTAATCGTCAGAAAAACATTAATCGATTAATGTTTGGCACTTGACAATTAATACGATTAATGCCAACTGGTAGAATCCGCTTGCTGCTCCTCTCAGCTTCAAATATGACGAACATTTAAAAAAAGTTCTGTAATTTATTTATCTATCAACACAATTTAAAATATGATGTATAGCCTGAAAGTCTGTAATTTTGACACAATTTGGAACAGATTTTTATGAAGAGAAAATCTTTCCCACTAAATTGGTCATGTGACTATGAAATAAGGGTATCCAGGGACTCCAGGGGATTAATCGTCAAATTAATCGTTATCGGCTAAATACCACAATTAATCGTGATTCATTTTTTTGCCAATATTGCCCAACCCTAGTACTATGCCAGGTTTTGTAAATATAAAGATGTTGTCTTTGACTTTTTGTATTTGAAGGATATGCATGTCACAGGCACTTTAAGATTATTTTTATTTATGTTGTTTTAGTGGAGGCTGGTGGTAAACATATGTGCAGGACATCAGCTCGTCCCTTTTTGCTGCCGTAATTAAACTGAAGTTCCAAGCTAAAAAATACAAACTTCTAATGAGTTAAATGGTAWTGTGATTCTGTTATAACTTATATGTATAAGCGTTATAACGCTGCAGTTTGCTGTCTGTGGAGAGTAAATTAGCTGAGTCTGTTAGCATCGGTAGCCGCTAGCAGCTACGCCTCATGTTGGCATGCTTGGATGACATTAGTAAGTTGACTGTGACCCTATCTTGCTGTGTAGGAGCAGGAGCTAGAGTTAGACCACCACCAAGCACATTTGATTTCTGTAACAGGTAATGTTATATTTTATTGTCACAGCGCCGCGACGAAGGACGTCCAAAACCTAAGACTCCTCCGATGCGGCTGACAAATACGTCCTTCCTTTGGCCCGAATCGAAGGACTGGTCTGAGGTATCCTTCCCGGCCGAGCGTATCCCATAATGCATTGCGGCCCGACCAGAGATTTTTTTATGCTGGTAATGGCGGACGAAGCGAGAGAAAAGAATACGTTTTAAAAATATATAGTGATATATAAAAAAAATTAGCGGTTGTAATTCTAATACTTTTATCATTTGTATGGACATGTTTTTAAATATTATTTTTATCATAAAAAAACGCGAAATAAACATGCACCTACAGCGGGTCAATTAGTTCTTCAAATGATACCTTTAAGTTAATTTTATAGTTTTGTGATATTAGCTAATGTATTGATAATTTTCTAATTTTGATTTAAGTTTGCTTGTTTAGCGTCATCACAGCTGCTAGGTGACATGACGTACGCCGGGGTAAGGAGGGGAGGCTAGACCGTCCAAATTCACAGCCTCTTTTTTTCCGGTCTTCCCTGTCTACCAAGGACCCGGCCCGCCTTGACCGGGTAGTCTGGGTCCTCCAGAGGACCCGGCCTGTCATTTTGGACACAGCCTATATATTTAGAAGGTTTGCACACCGGTGCCCCGGCACAAACAGAGCAATATTGTATATGCTGTTAAGTGCCAGGAGGACTGCGACCAGTTATACATCGGGGAAACAAAGCAGCCACTGTTCAAAAGAATGTCCCAACACAGACGAGCTACATCTAATGTCCAGAACTCTGCAGTTTTCACTCATTTACAGGCCAGCGGTCACTCTTTCAGAGATGAGGATGTTCTCATTCTTGAAAGGGAGGAACGTTGGTTTGAGAGAGGAGTAAAAGAAGCCATTTTTGTGAAGAAAGACCGTCCATCATTAAACAGAGGTGGAGGCCTCCGTTTTCAGCTGTCCCCCTCCTACAGCGCTGCCATTGGCAGTATCACTCCACCCCCTGTTAACAATAGGTATTAATTAGGTGTGAACGATAGCCATGTGATGTGAGTATCAGTCACATGGAGGCAGTGCTTAAAAGCCTGAATTTTGCCTGAAACTCTCAGACTGAAGAAGTCTCTTGGAGGAGAGACGAAACGTTTCATTAGAGAAGAACCCGTCCAGAAGACCTATACAATATTTTTCCTTTTGATTTTTTTTACCTGGATTACTGAGATGCATCAGGACATTTGCACATGCTTGTTTTAGTAATGCATGTTTGTTTTATTTTTATGAAAGCTGCCTTGTATCAAAAAGCATTGTTAAAAGTTGTAAGTGGGTCGTTTTGCTGCCTGATGTTCTGTGAGTAGAGGGCAGGATCTACCACCATGCACTTTATGGTTGTGAAGCTGAGAGAKGTCCCGAGTGAATGATTCTTCAGTTTACTGGTGTCGAGCCTAAAGTCGGGGGTTACACCAAGCTTTCAGGCCTGAGATCCCCGTTAAACGTGCAGACCYCTGGTTGGTTCAGAGACTGTTTTTCCAGCTGTCTCAGGATTGCCAGGCATGAGAGAACGACCGAGGAGTGAGGGATCCGTAMCCCAGAGGATTAGCGAGCAGAAGAAGACATCCTGGTGTTTGAGAAGGAGTGGGTTTAAAAAGCACTTTGCCGATAATAACGCTGCGCTTTAGGTTGGCAGACCCCGGGGAGGAAGAGTCCCAGTCTTTGAGGAGGGGAAAAAGAAAACACAACCTCATCCCTGCAGTCTTTGAACRGAGGACCACCTGCTCCACCCTGACACAACTTGTACGGCTTTTTATTGGTTTGCTCTCTGCTCTTATATATGGTTACATTCTCTGTTTGATTTTGTGGTCATGAAAATCTGAGTAAGAGGTGATGATGTWTTGACATGACTCTTTGTTTATCTGTACCACGGCTAATTATATTCAGCAGCACAAAAGCGGATGATTAAATGATAAAAGTAGCAAAAAGTTGCCAAATATATCAAAAGGTTAGCTAAAGGATSAAAGTAGCAACAGGCTAGCAAATTAATATTTAAAAMTAGCAAAAAGGTTAGCCAAGGGATAAAAGTAACAAAAGGCTAGCTAAARGCTAAWGCTAAAAGTAGAAAAAAATTGCCAAATGTATCTAAAGTTAYCMAAAAGATCAAAGTAGCAACAGGCTAGCAAAAAACAAGTGTATCAAATTTATAGTTAAAAGTAGCAAAGTTAGCTAAGAGCTAAAAGTAGCATAAGGCTAGCTAAATGCTAAAAGTTGCAAAAGGTTTGCTAAATGTATCAAAATTTTAGCTAATATATTAAAGTAGCAATGYGCTAGCAAAAAAATTAAGTGAAGCAATTCATTAACTAAAAGTAACAAAAGGTCAGCTAAATACTACAAGTAGCAAAAGGCTAGCTAAATGCTATAATTAGCTAAAACTAGCTAAAATCAGCAAAAGGTTATTTAAAAGTTGCAAAAGGCTAGCTAAAAGCTAGAAGTAGTACAAACATTAAACAGGCAGGTTTACTAAAGAGAATAAAACAATGTTTTTGAAGGTATTAAAAAGATCTTCACATATTTCTATGGGGAAAACATTTATAAAGTTAAATGTTTTGCAACGTATGAAAGTTTCAAAAAACAGACACTAAAACAAAAACGGCTGTGAACCAGTAAGTTTTATAGGGTTTGACCTAAAATTTGGTGTGGTTGTAGCTGAGAGTCATTCTCAAAACATACTTTAACCATTASATCACAGAATATCTCTCAGCACTGCATCAAATTGCATACCATTAATGATGAATTCACATGGTTATAATTTTTAAGCTGAACCTTGAGTTTGCTTGTATTAGTATTTTTGTGCATACTCTCAGTTGTTTTGAAGTGATGTTGGTTAAAAGGTCCTGAACAAATATCTTCTTTGTGGTAAAGAACTCTTCAGAAGTTGCTCCAGAGGCTACAGCTCAATACAAATATATARTTCACGCTAATTTAAGAAACACCGCCCAGAGTTTGTTCTCCAAACCCTCYGTGGATCCTGTCTTCACATCTCAATCAACAATATTCTGGAGGCTGTCAGTAAGAGACGTGTTCATCTGCTACATTCAGCTCTGCAAACACCAAAGCCCCCCCAACCCCCCACCCCGACAGCAGCCTCCGTCACGCCACAGGTGGAGGATACGCTGTGAAACGGCGCTATTGTCATTGCTCCGCACCATCTGCCTCACTTTCTCCAGACCCCTCCACCACCCCTCCCGCTGCCACTTGTTGTCGTCACCCAGCAGCCACAATGGGCTGTCACCTCATAATGAACCCCGAGGGTACGAGGCACTGATTTAAAGTCCCATCGCTGTTACAAAGCGGGGAGACTGCAGGAATGACGACTGAGTGGCGGCTGTTTGTTGGCTTCGAGCACAGATGGTGCTTTTTTCACACGTTCACTGCTTGTGAGTAAAKTGTGCAGCAACTGTTGGACAATCCCGGTAAAAGTGTGTGGTTTTCTTTCTTTTTTTTTCACCCCCTCATTCTACTCTGGTTTTCAGGAAGAGATGAGTCATTTCTGCAAAGAAAAAAAAAGGACTAAAGCTTTAATATTCTGCACCACTGGAGAGGATAATGAAAACACCATTTAAAGCGAACACATCACTGAGTGTCTTTAAAGARGCGCAGGTATGTCTTCGACATGCAGGAAGCTTCAGCGGTGAGACGAAAACAAAAAAAAGAAAGGAAAAAAAAGGAACACGACTTCTGTTTTGGATGATTGTGTGGCCTCTTGTTGCTCAAGCTGCCTCACGTCGTTGCTCTCTCTGCGTGAGCCGTCCCTGAAAAGGCTGCGACCAGCGTGAAGCCGGAGCGCCTCTGTCTGCCCGAGTCGCATGGCTCTTTTCATCTCTCCATGCCGCCGTTATGGCGGGTCGTGGGGTGAAGGGCACCACGGTGACAAAGCATGCTGGGATACATGGACTCGGAYTCACTCTCCGGACCCCGTGAGGGTCGGCGGTTGGATGTGTTGCTAGGGTTCGCTGGCAGCTGCTTCGGCTCCTCATAGTAACTTAAAGGGAGAATTAGTTCCGGTCACACCCGTGTGGGATGTTAATCACCTCTTGCATTTTAATTCTTCATTGTGRCGACATGAATGACTCTTGTGAGCAGAAAGGTACCATTGTTGTTTATCTCTGCYTTAAAAATGATCAAAACCTTGTTTTTGACGTGGTTTTAATCACATTGCGTAGTTATCATTTTCTCCTTTTTAAACCCAAAACATAACTTTCAGACATGAAATAGAGATGTTTGCAGAAAATTTATTAGCTAAAAGTCTTAAAGGGTTAAAGCAAGTTAATAAAGGATCCGTATTCCAGAAGAGGACATCCTGGTGTTTTAGCAGGAACAGGTTTAAAAAGCACTGCAGATAACGCAGCTCTGTTGGTTGGCAGACCCAGGGAGGAAGYGTCCCAGTAAACCTATTAATTCCCTTTTAAATGGTGCCACCTTTGTAAGGAACATGCATTTGTGGGATGAGCAGTCGAGCCGAGTACTGTTTGTGGGTTGTGTTTGCCAAATTTTCTCTACCAAACAGCTTATTTTGCTGTTGCTAGTGACACTTGTTATGAGCTTCTGGTACCCCCAGGTGCTGTCAATCATGTGCCCATTATAAGATTTATTTCCAAGAATCATTGTTACAACAAATAAATATCCTACCAAACACAAATTTTCTTACATTTTGTGCTAAGTACTTTAAACATTTAGCAAAAGCAGCCAAATTATCTTATTTGTTCTAAACCAAGCAATAAATAATTAGAGTTACTGATCAGAAATATTTGGCAGGTGTGACTGAATCAGCTGCAGCTGTCATGGTTAATGGRTATTTGACCCAAAGTGRYGACAAATACCTRGACACTGWTGRTCTAAAATAAACTRACTATTATAATGGAAACAAAACGCTGTTCAAACTGCAAAACAGAACTTGTGGGGAACAGACATGAGCATAAACAGAGCCACAACTAAACCAAAAGTATACAAAGCCAAACTAAGGAACCAACCAAGAGAAATATAAAGACAAYCTAATTAACCCAAAATACCCAACACCTGTGCAGAGTAACTGAGATCAGGTGCAGGTGGCCGAACAGAATCAGCAGAGCAGCAAAAACAGAGACTAGAAACTAGAAATCCCTGAATTTAAACAAAACAAAATGGCACAATCCCTACAGTAGCACCATCTCAGAAGTCCAGAACGTAGTTTTAAAAGTTTGCTTCCTTACCGCCTGCCTCTCTGGTTCCTGTAAATGTCTCCCAGTTTTGGGCCCATGTTTGATTGGCTCCTTGCAGTCTTCAGGTGTTGTGCATCATCTTTCCATTCCCCTATATCCTCTGGTCATCTCAGAATGGTTCCTACGCTCTTGCTTGTTTWTTTATTTATTCATTTATTTGACAGGGACAGTGCACAATACATTTATTGTACAAACCACAGATAGCTACAAGCTAATTTTCATCTGTTGTCCCTGGGGCAAAGTTACAGCAAGATCAAAGTAAATAAATAAAAACCCTTGGTAGACCCTACACAATCTTTAAAATACAATAAAACCTTAAAGAATTCTCAACAATACCCATTAACCAAACAAAAATCTAAAATACAATTCAATTACGCAGTTAAAAAAAACACCTAAAAATAATACTGAACCAGTCAGGACATCATCAACAAAACATCTTCCAACAGCTTCCAAGCTTCYCTTCCTATTTTCAAAACTAAAAGCGCTTCTACTTAAAATTTGGCAAATTCTTAGAATGTATTTAGCGTGAAAGTTAAAATTTGGGCACAGACCAAAAAACATGCATGTTAGGTTAATTGGTAACTATACGGTATCGTCACTCTATATCAAGTATGAATGGTTGCTTGTCTCGTTGGTCTTTCTGCGATGGACTGGAGACATGRCCAGGGGTTCCCCCCGTCTTTCGCACAATGACTGCTCATGACATGGAAAGGAAAAGCAGGTAACGCCTGGTTCACACAGCAAGATTGTAAAATTGATTTTCAAAACCTGAGACCCCCACGTATGGTGATAAAAAAAAATCCTAGATATTTGGTCCCACAGTGGGTGGTGTACGACCACACAGCAAAAACAACACACCACAAACAAACCGATTTCACTCACAAACATTCAAATGTCAGACGAGAAACCTTGCAAAACCTCTCGAGATCAAACGTGAGTTCAGAGTAAATAAACATGGCAGACGAGGAAGAAGCAATGGCGATAGCTTGTGGACGATTTTTAACAGGAAAAAACAAAGGACTTCCACCGGACTGCACGGTGCTCCATGACAATAGTTTAGTCTTCTGTGTTTTTGGATTCCCCTCCATGTTTCTGTCACTTCTCTTTCTGATCGGCTACACATCACATTCAACAYACTGGGAGCTTGTCCGTCCTCGGGGAACACCACACACTCTGGAATATTGAGCCAGACAATCCAGTATGATGAATATGAGGTCGGAGTGGTCCTGATGTCCTTCCAGGCCAATTAGATCACTCTTAACGCACCACAAACAGCAGGAATATCTCTGAAGATTATCTGCCATCACAATGTTTGGGATGTCCTTAAGATTGTCAAAAGGGCAAAATCGGGTTAAAAATCTGCACATATATCTAGCTGTGTGATCCAGGCTTAAAGAAGATGATGAAGTGATTAAACAAAGTGCACAAACAAATCTAAAAATTCTGAATTAGAGAAGAAAACTAGGTGACCAAGTTAACTCTTCTTTTTTTGACCTTTATGAACGCAGAGGGATAACTTGTTCACCCAGTGAATGAGGCTGTGAAAACGGATGGCGCACCATCGACTCGACCAGCCATCTCATCAGGCAAGCAGCCCCGACTGGCATGGAGGCAATATGAAACACATAAACCCTTCCGATATTAATGACTCTGTCGAGCTGAAAGCCTCTGATGCTATTCGGAGATAGGCGCTAAATGTCCCCGAGTGCTGAGAACACAACATTATGGGCATTCATATAAATACCCTCTCATCTCTGCACAAGACTGTCCGTCCTTGAGTTCCCATGAAAATAATAAGAGGTGGGCCTCCTGTAACTCAATACGCACATATTGCCTGCACTAGAGTGGCGCCAAGAGATAAAATGAAATCAGAACAAGGTGATGACAATGATGCCACTTGTGGTCGAGTTGGAGACTTAAGGGTTCATTCCCGTCGTATTTTACCCCCACCTATTCTTGTAAGACATTTCTTGGTACTCCTCATCAATATAGTGATCAAAACAGTTGCAAATTGCTTTAACTGAGGTTAAAATAGCAATCAGAGGAGTGCATATTACATAAATTATATTAGTCTGAATTCAACTGAGGCTCAGATACAAAAACTTAAATATCTTTGAAATATCAGCTGGATTCAAGGCAACACTCTGGAACAAATGAGTCTCTATGCTTGTGGGTTTAAAACTACATGAAAGCTTAATTTTGTACCTAATTTTAACGGTTGTGAAGTCGGATTATTCAGTTTATTTTATGTTGTTGAAGACATGATGGGTCGGACCTCTATCAGCTCAAGAGACAATTCAAGAGGCTGTCATCTCTCAGGGGGGTGGTCCCAAACGTCTCTTAATGCCCGGATCTGTCACACACCTGTCACTGTCCTTTATGAAGGTCGAGACGAGGCTCCCACACTGGATCTCTGCCGATGAGACCAGTTATCAGCCCCTCGAGCGGCACTTCAATAACAGCGTCAGTGTCGGGTTCCCCTCCAGCAACACACTACTACACATGAACGGGGGGCAATCAAAGGCCACTCTTAAACATTTGGGAAGATTGCCCCAACTTTAACCCCGTCCCGTCCTATTCTCGAGAGCCTGGAAACCTGCAGCAGCGCAGTGTCCAATTTCCCCGCTAGTTTGCCCTCTGAACTGTGAGGACGGATGGACGAGCAGCTTAACCTCTTAGCGAGACCTCGATGGAGAGGTAGCACCGGAGCTAGATGGACCCAGGAGATCACTGATTTCATTACAAGCATGGTAGAAGTTTCCCTTTGTTGTCTTACTGTCTGCTTTTTTTCTTGTGAAGGAATTTCTTTAACATATTATGACCACGGTTTAGTTAGAGTCCAGCAGTGAGGCATCATCAGTTGAGAGGTCTATGTTGTGATAAATATGGTGTGATAAAAAAGACTTACAAAAGAAGGTTATCTTGTTGTTCTACCAATTTGTGTTCTTACAACATCTTTTTTTAGATTAGATTAGATTTATTTATTTAACAGGAAAAGATTATTAAAAATCAAGCCTGACTCAGCACAATTGCTGTTTTACAGCAGGTTCCTGTTCTGCAGCACATAAAACACTCAGAATTACAGCATCACAATCACATCATTATTATTACACCATAGATACAAAGACAAACAAGCATACCAAATTTCAAAAAGGCAGCATTTGCAAAATAGGAVGTCTAAATATGAGCACAACAAAAAGTGTCCAGCAGATGGCAGACAAGATTCTTCTTAAAGGGCTGTAGTTTTGAAATGGACTTTATGTATTGAGGAATGTCATTCCATGCTTTAGTATAAACATAGAAGAAAGACCTCTGGCCGTAACAGTTTTTAGAAGTTGGTAATATCAGTTGTCCTTTTGTAACAGATCTAGTTGAATGACCACTTCCAGAATTTGATTTGGGCATCAATGCACAGAGAGTTCCATAATTGGCGCCTCGGAAGATCTGAAAATATAAATTAATACCACTATACTAAACATAATTCTGAAAAGTCAAGGCATCAGACAATGAAAGAACTGTACAGTGATGAGTCCAACCAGGAAGTTTTTTATGAATTTTGTAGGCCCTGTTGTAGAGCCTAACTATGGGTTCTAAGATTTCATTTGTTGTAAAAGACTAAACAGGTAAACAGTACGACATGGTTGAGAGTATAATGGCATGAAGATAGATATTTGAAACAGAAGATGTCAGATTGGATCTAATTTTTGAATAAATGTATAATTTCTGTTTCAACTTAGTGGTTAAGACTTGTACATGATCACGATAAGTCAAATGAGAATCCAAAGTAATTCCAAGATGTTTGTAGGTAGTGACAATATCAAGGGGTTTGTTTAAAAAAGTGAGTTGATTTGTTATATTGAAATGTCTCCTGGGTGAGGAAAAATACATGCACACAGTTTTTTAACATTAATTGACAAAAGATTATCTTGAAGCC